AAAAAATTTTTCATACACCCCTTTAAACAATATAAAAAATATAATATATAAAAAAAAAAAAAAAAAAAATATATATATATATATATATATATATATATATATATATATATATATATATATATATATATATATATATATATATATATATATATATATATCTCAAAATTTTCAGATGAAGATTTGCTATGCGAAGTTTTAAAAGGTTCAAATGTTTTTTTCGTGGTGTTCCTGAACGCAATTTCCCCAAGCTAAAGCTAAAGCCTGCTCAAGCTCAGGCTCGATATAATTTTTTCAACGAAGGTTTCTTTGTTCATGTTTTTTTAAATATTTGACTCTTTTCAGTCACTAAATCGTCGTTTTAATAATAAAAACTTCGCATTTTACTACTACTAATAAGAAAAACGTTAAAATTAGTTTTATAACAACGTTCAAATATTATTTTTCCTACTTTACTTAAACGCAGCATAAGACAACCAAGTTGGAGACTTTTATTGCGGCTGCGCAAATTGTTTTTTCCCGGAAACTCCTCGGTTGTTTTGATGTCGGCTGGTTTTGTAGTCATTTATCATAAGGAGAAGCAGAACTTTTCCCCAGTGTACTTAGTTGTGTTTTACTGGAAAGAACACGCAGCATAACCTTTAAAATGGGCAGTCGAAGTTGATCAAGGTAACTGTGCGGTGAATGAAGGTAAACATTTACTTAAAACAGTGGTTAGCAGTCCTGTTCACTGGCTAGCAGAGAGCTCGTTACTCTGTCATTAAAGTTGGGTTCAGCATGGATTGTACGGCGCTGGAAGTCGACGCTTTCAAATTCGCGAAAACTGCTGTAACCTATGACCAGAATGCCAAATATAATGAGGCTGTGTTTTATTATAAGGTAGGTAAACAGCTGTTACTTGTCATGGTTAGCATGTAGCTGTATGCTTCCTGTAGTTAAGTCCACTTTCACTTATTCACTGGATTCTTAATAACATTTATGAATCTGTATAGTTTCAGAGCATAATTATTTTTTTATGTTTTGATAACATCATATGAATAGTCCTGACAGTACTCATTGATTGTGTTTTATTGCTATTTTTTTATTTTATTTTTTTATTTTTATTGGGATTCGTGTGTTAAAGGAGGCAGCCCAAGCTCTGATATATGCAGGCATGGCAGGGTCCAAACTGGAGGGGCTCCAGGACAAAGTGAGTGAATACTTGGA